AGGCACGGTCACCTTATCTGGGCTCCGTCCTCTCCTCAGGCATCTCATCCCAGAGCTTGCTATGTAGCAGGAGACATGCAAATACGGTCCTACCTCTGCTGATAAAAACCAGCCCGGCCCTGACCCTGCAGCTCTGGGAGAGGAGCCCCGGCCCTGGGATTCCCAGGAGTTTCCACTTGGTGATCAGCACTGAACACAGACCACCAACCATGGAGTCTGTGCTGAGCTGGGTTTTCCTTGTTACAGTTTTGAAAGGTAATTCACGGAGAACTGGAGACACTGAGTGCGAGTGGACATGAGTGAGGGGAACAGTGGGTATGTGTGGCAGTTAATGACCAGGGTGTCTCTGTGTTTGCAGGTGTCCAGTGTGAGGTGCAGCTGGTGGAGTCTGGGGGAGGCTTGGTCCAGCCTGGGGGGTCCCTGAGACTCTCCTGTGCGGCCTCTGGATTCACCTTCAGTGACTACTACATGCACTGGGCCCGCCAGGCTCCGGGGAAGGGGCTGGAGTGGGTGGGTTTTATTAGAAACAAAGCCAATGGTGGGACAGCAGAATACGCGGCGTCTGTGAAAGGCCGATACACCATCTCGAGAGATGATTCAAAGAACTCGCTGTATCTGCAGAGGAGCAGCCTGAGAGCCGAGGACACGGCCGTGTATTACTGTGCGAGTGACACAGTGAGGGGGGGCCCGTGTGAGCCCGGACACAAACCTCCTGCGGGGGCGCGCGGGGCCACCAGGGGGCGCGCGGGACCACTGAGGACGGGACAGGTCCCAGGAGCAGGTGCAGGGGGAGGTTTCCTTTCTCCTCAGCTGGAAAAGTCAGCTTTGTATTTGCAGAATTCTGGAGCATTTTAGGCTGTGATATTTTATTACTTATATTTGTTATAAGTTTGTTAACCTTAGTGTTTAAATTTTACTAATTATTAAAATTATGTATATACAAATATTTATTAAACATATACTTTCTAGGAAAAAACATTCCTAATTATTTGCACTGATTCTTCCAGGGTTTTATTAACATTTGTTGACATCAACAACCACATAGCTATAGGTATTTAAATGTATACGCATAGAAAGATGCATAGGCCAGGCGTGGTGGCTCACGCTTGTAACTCCAGCTACTCAGGAAACTGAGGCAGGAGAATTCCTTGAACCAGGTGGGTGGAGGTTGCAGTGAGCCCTGATCATGCCACTGCAGTCAAGCCTGGGTGACAGAGTGAGACTCCATCCAAAAAAAAAAGGAAGAAAGAAATAAAGAAAGAAGTAAGTATAAATACACAGACCTATGCACATATGTTGTAGGCATTCATATTAAACATTACAATAAAATAATTCTGAAAATTATTTTAAAAAATCAAACTTAATGATGAACAAAATATAAATTATTAGAGTAATTCACAATGGATTTCA